ATATCACATGACATCCTTCGCCTCCCTTGGAAAAAAAGGCATCCGAACAGTTGCAGAGTTGTGTTTTAAAACATGAAAAGTGTCCTTCAATGCTTACATTTGAGGAGTAGTAATGTAGTATCTGTTCCATGTTGTAACTGAGCTCTGCGTGCTTTGGTGGGATAATTCTGCTTAGCGCCGAGCGTGGTATTCACGAGACGAGTTTCATACTCTAACGGCAAATTCTGATCCCACGCGGCCCTGCTGAGATTTTCGCTTGCGCCCTTGCTCTCGCCCATTCTTTGGCATGAGTGTAAAACCAAACATACAAAGTTTCTCTGTTCTATCTAATCATTTCTGGTCCTTCCTCGTAGGAATCTACTATTTATCAGATTTGAAGTCTTCGATTCAGACCCATTCGCGGTCCCTCTTTCTTAGATCTGTTGCCGCTCGGGGCGGCGCCAAATCGGGCTAGCCCCGGCCAGGTGACAGTACGGTACGACGCTGCTGAGACCGACACAACTTGGAACCAACCACCCCAGCTCTCCCTCGATTGTCTCCGCCGCCCAACATCTCCTTGTTCGGCGCACGCCACTGGGAGTTTTCTTTTTCTGCTTTCCTGCCATCGCTACTGCCGACTTCGTGCCTTCTCAAAAATACACATCCGTGACGACCATGTTCTAACGATCTCTGTTTTATTTTCACTTTGGGCAGTCAGATGGTCTTGACGGCCGTGTACGGAGGAGCATCCTGCTGACAGCCCCCCCATCTCGCCTGTTTCCTTGAATAGGCTCCTAGAACCCAACCGCTTCAACCTGCTTCAAGCTACTTTCTTACGCAAAATTCGAATATTAGCGCGACATTTACTACACTTCGAATAGACACGGCGGTTTTCTTCGTTACTATCACCCTCACGACGCGTCCGTGTACCTCTCGCACTCTTAGAGTTCAACGCAGCTTGACGGCAAGCACAGAACAACAAGATGGACGATAACGAACCCAAGGACGGTTTTATTCAAGGGTCAGCGTCTGGTTCCATTGGCCAGTTCTCCTTCGCCCCCGCAACGCGAACAACTGTCGTTACCACCACCACAACTACTACCACCTCCTTCCCTCCGTTGTTTATCAAACCACCACGAGCGGTCCAGGAACTTGATCCGAAGCTGTACCCACTGGCGTCATCTCCCACACCATCGGCTTTGAAAAATATCAAGTTTGATCTTGGTGGAAAGTCCGTGGTCTTCAGCGAGCCTGATGACACCACGGCGACTATAGAGGAGGTACGAAATACAACACTATCACTCCATTTTGACAGATAAAATCTAACATGGCCTCCAGATAACCGAAAAGAACGATGCTTTGAAGGCCTCAAATGGCGTAGTCCGATCAGTCACTTCGTTTAATTCCGAAGATGGCCAACTACCGCGTCGGTTCGCAGTTCCGAGAGTTTCGAACCATCCCGCCCCTCTCCCAGCCAGCTCCAAGCGCCGACCCCTATCGTTCACAGAAGCTCGACAAGGGAATTTGAGGTCTCAGTCGAGTAGGATTCCGTCAGAGCCTTTGCTTCGTTCCTCTCGAGCCCATGGCAACACCCCTTCCTACCCTAGACCCGCCGGCTTGGCAACACCCGAGACAGAAAACAGCAGTTTCGGTTCTCAAGAGAGCATTGCTTCGCGGAGACGAATCCACAGCGCGAACTTTCCCCGGAGAGAGACCCTTCTTCGATCACCATTGTCTTCAGAAGTCGAATCCCAAGGCGATCTGTCAACCCTCCATACTAGAAAAGACCCTTCTCGTACCAGAACCATCGTTTCTGAGAGAAGCAGACAACTTGGACGTCCTCCGGTGTCAGATCCTGTCGACTCGATAATACCCGAAGACGAAAATTCGGGGCAGCAAGACCTAGCTGCTTCCGAGAGTCAGGACACAGAATATGTCCCTGACTCACTTTCCCAAAATCGATCCCATGATTCAGCTTCACAGCTGACACTTGTTGACAATGTTGCTGCGCAGGATATGTGCCTACCCAGTCCTAGTTTGTCACCGGTGGCAGCTATGAATGCATTGCATGCGGAATCATCATTTGACTCTGCTGAAGAACCCGAAGATGAAACAGATTCAAGTTTCGAACACATTGATTCCCAGCTTATCGGCCCTTCACGAAAAAAGACCTCGACTGCTCCTGTGCCTGCAGATTCCGAACGTAACACCAATGCTTCAACACTAAATACGAAATCACCTGGTGCGTCCTCGTTGATGGACATACCCAATGTTGTGGATTTCTTTGACACTATACCGGAGGAGATGAAGACATACCTCATGTACCAACTCCTAAAACGCTGCCCTAAACCGACGTTGCACTTTGTCGCCGACGTTGTCAATCCAGCCCTAAAATGTGACTTTATCACGCTTCTTCCGCTCGAGTTAAGCCTGAATATTGTCAAGTATTTCGACGCGCAAACCATGTGCCGTGCTGCCCAGGTGTCAAAGAAGTGGAGACACATCATCAATTCCGACGAGAAGTCCTGGAAAGAACTCTTTGATAAAGATGGGTTTACGCTCCCAGAGGGAGAGCTCCACCGAGCTATTAGAGAAGGGTGGGGCTGGCAGTTTCCAAACGGAGTGGAAGACTACGAGAAGGACCTCAGTCTATCACCTTTCATCAAGCCGGACCCAGATTCTGGCTCAGCTTTGTCACCACTTGCCGGACCAAGTGACAGATCGTCGTCTCTCAATCGACGCCCGAAAAGAAAGGCTTCCCGAGTTTCTAGCAGAAAACTGGCGAAACGAAAGATCTCATCTAGCGGCACCGATCAATCCGATTCATCAGATTGGAGAAGAGAAGTATCATTAACGGAAGGGCCATATGCTGCTGCCAACGCTGCAGCTGCGGCTATTCCATATCCAGACATTGGTCTTCCATCTCTTCGAGCACTCCATCTCTACAAATCCCTATACCAGCGACATTATTCCGTGCGCAAGGGCTGGATGAAAACCGGCGTAAAGCCAAGACACATTGCCTTCCGTGCCCATGACCGTCATGTAGTCACATGCCTCCAATTCGATACCGATAAAATTTTGACTGGCAGTGATGACACTAATATCAATGTGTATGACACGAAGACAGGCGTCTTAAGGGCAACTCTCGAAGGCCACGAAGGTGGCGTTTGGGCCCTTGAATATCATGGCAATACTCTTGTCTCCGGGTCTACCGATAGGTCCGTTCGCGTCTGGGACATCGAAAGGGCAAGATGTACACAAATATTCCATGGCCATACTTCAACCGTACGCTGTTTGCAAATCGTTCTACCAGTTGAAGTCGGAAAGAAAGCAGACGGCACTCCTGAAATGATGCCCAAGGAGCCGTTAATCATTACGGGTTCTCGGGATTCAAACTTACGAGTTTGGAAACTCCCTCAATCAGGAGACCCTGGCTATTATCAAAGCGGGCCCCATGTGGACGATTCTGATTGTCCGTATTTCGTCCGCGTCCTGACCGGCCACCAACATTCGGTCCGCGCTATTGCAGCCCATGGAGACACCTTGGTCAGCGGAAGTTATGACTGCACCGTGAGGGTGTGGAAGATATCCACAGGGGAAACCGTACACCGACTTTCTGGTCACTCACTGAAAGTGTATAGTGTGGTTCTCGACCATAAGCGGAACCGTTGCATAAGTGGATCTATGGATAATATGGTCAAGGTGTGGTCCCTAGAGACAGGTTCAATTCTTTACAATTTGGAAGGTCACACGTCACTTGTCGGCCTTCTAGACCTGAAGTGTGATCGTCTTGTCTCGGCTGCCGCGGACTCAACTCTCCGAATCTGGGACCCTGAGACTGGCCAATGCAAGAGTATGTTGAGCGCCCATACAGGTGCAATCACATGCTTCCAGCATGATGGGCAGAAAGTTATCTCGGGCTCCGACCGAACTCTGAAGATGTGGGATGTACGAACCGGAGAATGTGTTCGAGATCTTCTCACAAACCTTGGCGGAGTATGGCAGGTCAAGTTTAATGACCGTAGATGCGTTGCTGCAGTGCAGCGTGATGGCATGACTTACATTGAGGTGAGTGTTTGTTTATTCGTTGTTGCTTCAAACGTCTCAGACTAATTATCGCTAGGTTCTTGACTTCGGTGCGTCCCGTGATGGTCTTCCAGATGATCAGCTAGGTAGACGTATTGTCGTCAACCGATCGGGGCAGGAAGTTAGTGACACTGATGAGGATTACGATCTGTCGGATGCTTAAGTTGCATCCACACAAGCTACGAACCGGTTTCGACGCTACGACCCGCTGGTAGGACACTGATTGGGGCGTGTACTATGTTTGACCGCCCGAAACACCAAGCACCAGTGCTTCTTCATTCCTGCTTTGGAAGCCTTTTATCATCACCCTTTTATATTTGACACCTCTATTTACGATACCCATTCTCACGGAAATGTTTACATCGCAAGGCTTTGCATAGCGTGGTTAGCAACATACCTCCCACTGCGGTTTATGACGGACAGGCGTCTTGGCATTAGGAACAATTACATATCATTATTATGACAAGCATTCATGTCTATATCTATATCACTTTTTGCATTTATCACGTTATGTCCCCGTGGTCTGTTCGATGTCTTATGCGCATATCTTAGTATGTGGACTTCAAGCGGCGACCACAACAATTTGCTCTCAGTTCTTTTGCTCAGACATTCATGCTTATAGAAAAGAATCTTAAGTCTTATGTTTTCCTTGCATGGTGCTAAGCGCATTGAAGCGCCTTCGGATACCCTTGAAGAGAACTCCTTTGTAGTCGTCGAAATTCGCGCGGCAGCAGCCGTCCGTATTTCGTGTAGTCATTCCATTAAGACCTGGTGGTAGCACTCATCGATCGATCCATGACCGGGTGGGTTTGTTTCATCAGCCAGGCGGCGAGGAGTATAGATGGACGATACCAGTTGCCAGGTAGCGGACGCCCATTTGAATTTAGCACCCGATTCCCATTTTGGTATACTTGGAACCTTAGACCCAATTCATTTCAAGAAGCCCGGTCGAGAGTATCAACCCCCGTCGGCGCAGGGGGAAACAACTCCGCCTTCGCCTCAACCGTCCCATCCAAGCCCGCAGCAGAAAGTATAGCCCAGCGAACTGAACTGATGCCCAGAAACTTGCCCGGGCCAAGCGGTGTCTCAGCGCTACACGTCAATAACTCCCCTAGAGCACCAGGGCCCTCGTTACGGCCATCCGGTTGGACAACAGGCCTCAGCCTCTCAAGTGTAGCGCGCAAACCGGCGAGTTTCTCAGCAGATGGAACGCTCGTAGGTTTCGTCTTCTTCTTCACAAGAAGTTTGTCGACTTTCGACAGGACTATTTGATGCGGGATCGCATACTGCCGGAATAAACTCAGGATCGCGGCGTCAGTTGGTTTAATCCCGTGCTCGCTGTCGATTAAGAGGAATGCTCGGCGCAGTCTGGTTTGCGTTTTGAAAAGCCAGTCAGTCAGTGAAAATCCGGATTTCACCCTGCATATAGGTTGACGCAGGTGGGTGAGGTGGATAACTACTCACTGCTTCCTCCCCTGGAGGTACTTCATGATCTCCTGCCCCCATTCCGTGCGACTTGCCTTGCCATAACCCGGCATATCAAGCAGGACAATCTTCGACTCGCCGCCCTTCGTGCCCCCTATACCAAATGCATTCATCTCTCTCGTTCGCCCAGGCTTCGATGACGTCCAGCACATCTCCTTACCCATAATAGAATTCAGCAGTGAGCTTTTCCCGACATTGGACCGACCCAGGAATGCGACTTCGGGTTCTATTGAGGACAGAGGTGTCGTGCGGAACTTTGCCGCGGACCATAGCTTTATCGGGGAGTGGCGCGAGGGTGCGAAGAGTTTGTCTGCATATGCGAGTTGGGATGAGGTCGGTATCGATGTGTCCCAGTAGTAGGAGAGGTGCTTGGGGGTTAGATCGCGAAGAGGAAGGGTTTGGCGGGACTCGGGTTGCGGAGTTGCTACGGTGGTTATTGTCCTGCTTCGCGGTACGCGGAGTGAGAGTGTTTGCCGGCAGCTGCGACAAATATAGAATGGTGGTCTCATCATGATATAGTAGCGGTTGTTGAGGTTTGGATTGTTGGTTTAGAAGTTGGTCTGAATGCGCTGAAGAGCTTCTTTCGCAAAGCTTGGATAAACATGTTTTAAGATACTGCCGGAGGCGGAATGTTGCCCGAGATCTCCGCGATAAGCTCCGGCGATGATGCGATGGCTACTGAGGATCATCCAACTTACTTATCTTTAACTTTTGCAACCAAGCACGCTCCTTTCTTATGAAATATACACGAATCTGCTGCCATAAATAAACACACAATTCTTTTAAAATACACCGGGAGACTTAATAGTCATCAAAATGATCAACGCCGTGCTCGTCTTCAACAACAACGGCCAGCCCCGCCTGACCAGGTTCTACACCCAAATCGTGAGTGTTCGAATAGCTACAAGCCCTGTTCTATTCTCCGAGCAACGCTGACAGGCTTTTCATTAGGACACATTAACTAAACAATCCCTGATTGCCCAAATATACGACCTCGTCGCCCAGCGTCCCCCAACAGCCTGCAACTTCCTTCCCCTGCCTCCCATCCTCGCTCGCGGTGCCAGCTCCGAAAGCACCGGCCCCTCCGATGCGCCAGCCCAGATCACCTACCGTACATACGCAACTCTATCATTTATCATGATTTCAACGTCTACAGAGTCCCCGCTGGCGCTTATCGACCTCATCCAGGTCTTTGTTGAGGCACTCGACCGCATCTTCGAGAACGTGTGCGAGCTGGATCTTATTTTTGGATTTGAGACGATGCATGCAGTATTGAGTGAGATGATCGTGGGAGGTGTTGTGGTTGAAACGAATATCGATAAGATTGTCTCTGGGGTGCAGAGCCAGGAAGGGAATCTGGGGAAGAGGAAGGCTATACAGGCGGCTAGTTCTGGGGTCGGAAGGGGTGGATTGGCTGGGCTTGCGGCTTGGAGGTGATTTGGTGCCCGGTCTTCAACATTATTATTTTGGTCCTAGGTTGATATGCTACGCTATATGAGGGCATGCGGTAGCGGTGCATGCATATTCAGGCGCTTGAGGTTTGGGTTTTTTGGTATGGAGTTGTTTCTATTGGTTTAAATTTGAATCTGCGTATTTTAGTCAAATATCCATTGAAAAACATTCTACTATTCGATTAGGAGTCCCATTTAGCATTTCCCATGATGCTGTATACTTGGGCCTTGTCGGCCTGTTCCTGATCCGGAAGGCGCGGGTTAGCCCTAGATCACGTGTGGCGTCCGGGATCCGGCTCGCTTGTTTTTCCGCACTAGCGCGGCCCACGAAAGCGTTAGCGCCTTTTACTCTTGAACTTTGAAATCGTCCTTCGTTTTTTCGTTTCTTCTTCTCTCCGTCAATCCCGTCAACCAACTCACCGCGGATCACAGTCGACAACAATGGTAAGCACATAGCAATTTAGTTTGGAGTTTCGTTCTTCGAATAGAACTCTCGATCAACTGCGCGATATGTCGTGAGACGAGTTTCACTTCGTTTCGCAAAGTTTCGAGGCAATTTCCATTGATCGCACAAATCCTTTCGGGGATGCGAGCGTCAATGATGATCTGGCTTGAGGCATAGGCCTAGTCTCATGGCTGGCCTGTGTTCTCTCTAGAGTTCAAAGAAGATGCAGCATTGGTGGACGATTTGCTGATCTTCTTTTCTCAATGATAGCCTCCCAAGACCGGAAAGAAGACTGCCCCCCTCCCTTACCCCCAGGGCAAGGCTGGTTCTGGCAAGAAGGGCCCCAAGGTATGTTCATTGCACGCTGATACAAATGTGAAAAAGCAAGTGCTAATCGATTGTGTAGAACCCTCTCATCGAGAGACGCCCCCGTAACTACGGTATTGGCCAGGACATCCAGCCCAAGCGCAACCTCGGCCGCTTCGTTAAGTGGCCCGAGTATGTCCGCCTCCAGCGCCAGAAGAAGATCCTGAACCTCCGCCTCAAGGTTCCTCCTTCCATCGCTCAGTTCCAGAGCACCCTGGACCGCAACACCGCTGCCCAGGCCTTCAAGTTCCTCAACAAGTACCGCCCCGAGACTAAGGTTGAGAAGAAGGAGCGTCTTCACGCCGAGGCTACCGCTGTCGCCGACGGCAAGAAGAAGGAGGATGTCAGCAAGAAGCCTTACAACGTCAAGTACGGTCTCAACCACGTTGTTGGCCTCGTTGAGAACAAGAAGGCCTCTCTTGTCCTGATCGCCCACGATGTCGACCCCATTGAGTTGGTTGTCTTCCTTCCCGCTCTCTGCCGCAAGATGGGTGTCCCATACGCCATCGTCAAGGGCAAGGCCCGTCTCGGTACCGTTGTCCACAAGAAGGTCAGTTCTTTCCCCCAGTTTGTTAACCTTTGTGTCAAATCTAACTTGAACCCAGACCTCTGCTGTTCTCGCTGTCACCGAGGTCCGCTCTGAGGACAAGTCTGAGTTCACCAAGCTCCTCAGCGCCGTCAAGGAGGGTTACACCGACAAGTACGAGGAGTCCCGCCGCCACTGGGGTGGTGGTATCATGGGCGCCAAGGCCGTTGACCGCCAGGAGAAGAAGCGCAAGATCGCTGAGGCCGCCGTCCGTGTCTAAGCACCTCGCTTAGTTCCCTTCAACGATACATTACGAATATCCGCTGGCTTGGGCTCTTCAAAAAAAGGCATTTCAAAACTTTACAAAAGTGGGATCGGGATCAGGTGTTATAGGGCTTCCCTTTTAGCTTAATAATCCGAACCTTGGTCCATCATCTTTTGTCTTTTTCTTCTCTTTTAGTTGCGTCGCAGATACCCATGAATGCATTTAAGACCTCAACCTGTTGACCCCCTTGTAACAATTTCTATGTTTTGAGCATTCATGAGATCTCTGCCCGCTTTTCTTACGTAGAACCTAAGCTTTCCCTCTGCCCATGCTATATAAGACCAAGGCTCATGTCTCGCCGGCCCGTCAACTCCACTTAGGAGTCGCGGTCACCTGGGTATGTTGAACTAGCTCAACCCAGGCGGTTTTGGTTTACCTACAGCATGTTAGACCCTTCATACAGCGTCAATATGTCGCTTTGCCATGGCCCCGAGGACTTTTTAGACATCTACAAGTGTGCTCGGGCTATGCATGAAATATCACAACGCAAGAACAAGCATATGTATTTATTCATCCGTGGATGAATCGGTATCTCCGCTTGACATGTAACAACAGCAAAAAACAGCCGGTAGCTAACGAAGTAGCTCTAAAGACCTGAAAGCAACCCAACAGCAATAAAAACCGAACCCAACCATTATGCAAACCAGATGATGATGATGATGAAGATGAATCGCCCCGTAGAACATTCCAGTCTTGTGCCGGGGTGAGAAAGGAACCTGGAAACAACAATGAAAGGAAGATAGTGACAAGAATAAAATAAAAAACGCAACCAGGCCCATGAATACACTCTAGGCAAAAGGAATATGGGAGATCAACGGAAGAAAATAACAGGCACCCCTGGAGTTTAACGGTACAAATTATTAGGTAAATGGAAGGGCCAAACTAGCCGCCGGCGAATGGGGAAGAAGAATAGGGTAAATTGCAAGAATAAAGGTCATTTAGTCATTAACGTTGCGCAGGGGGTCGTGTTAGTCCTTGTCGAGCCTGTGATAGTGGTTAATACTGATTACACCTTCGGCGGCGGGGGCGATATCCTATGCTTACCTTCATTTGCTCAATGCGTGCCTTGAGCTGGCTTGTGACTTCAGCGGCTCTCTTCCAGTTCTCTGCTGGCTCTCCGCTTCGTGTAGACTGTTGTTCTTCGCCCGAAGCACTACCGGACCCGACCAGTGATGACCGTGTAGGGCTGCCGATACCCGAATGGGCGTTTCCAAACGTAGGGCTGAACTTCCGCCGGTTTTGTCCCGGTGATTCTAAGCCATTCTCCTTCTCTTCGCTTGGACTAGCCGAAGCAAAACTCCGCGGTCGTGTACTTTCAAACCGTGGCCCCATGTGGAGGCCACTTCGCGCCACTGGACCTTGGCCATCACTGCCAGGGTCTTGGTATATGGAGGCCGGATCGGGCATCGCCATGCCAAACTGGTCCGGAGCAGCAGTTGGGGAGTTTAAGGCGCTAGAACGAAGGGCTCTTGCTAGCTCACGCTTAAGCCGTTCGATTTCTCGCTGCTGCTTTTGTACATTTTGTTCAGCAGCCTCTGCGTCGCTGCGTGCTCGTACAAGTTGCGTTTCTTTCGCCTTAATACTCAGAACGTCTCTGGTATGGTCTTCAATTAGCTGTGCATTTTGGTTTTGAAGTTCTGTTACTTGAGAGTTGAGTCTCATTTTCTCGGACTTAAACTCTTCAGTCATGCGGGCAAACCGTTCTTTCTCAAGCCGAAGTTCCTCGAGCTCGGCCCGTTCTGCAGCCGTCAATCCGCTCACTGCAGGGGCTGCCGGTGCCGGTGCTACCTCACTCGGGGCCGACGGTTTGGCAATCGGGCGGCCTGCAAGCCCTCTTCCAAGACCGAACTTCGAAACAGGAGGCTGTTGTGGTTGTTCTTCGGTGGGTGGTGAAACAACACGTCGCTGGGGGGATGCGAGCCCTCCTGGCCCACCGAGCTTTTTCTTCAATGCGCCGCCTGGAGTCGGAAGGCCGCCGCCAGGCTTTGATAGCTTCGAAGGAATAGATTTGGTTGCAGGCTTTGATGGTGAAGGGGCAGGTGGGTCGGCAGGTGGTGCAGGCGCAGCGGCGGGCTTTTTCAGACCCAATGGCTTCTTAGTCCCTACGACCTTCTTCGCAGAAGGAGGGGCTGCCTTGGGCGCTGGAGCAATGGGCTTTGGTCTATCCTTTGCCTTTACCTGTGCTGTTTCGAAGAATTCCTTGATTTTGGTCTTCCGAATATCGTCCAGTCCATCAAGGAAAGGAACCATTGCTCGTTCACCCATAATCTTCATCAAAGTACCAAGGATCTCGGCACCGCCGGCACGGTTCACTTCACTCGAATCGGTAAGAAGTTTGGTAGCAGCTTCAGCTATCGACTTGATTTCGGGCTTCGCGGGGACATCGCGAGTGGTGCGGAGGCAACGGATCAAGAATTTCACCGTTTCCTGCTTCACCTGGGGGTTCTTATGCTTGACGAACTCTAGAATTTCTTCCAGGCAATCTGACAGGCTAGTTGCAATGAAGACTGCATCGAGAGCTTGCCCTAAGGCCTCCGAAACGCTCTGCTTCTTTTCCTTCAACCGTTCCATAATTGGTGACATGACGGTAGGACGGTACTTAACAAACCCACTTCGAATACCCTTGGCGAGGAGGTCAACACAGTTGGCTGCGACAGTAACAACTGCAACATTCGCGTCCTTCATGGACTTGGCAAGGCCCCGAACGATTTCATCAAACGGTCCATCCTTGATTTTCGGAACATTCAAGGCCGCGTACAGAGCATCCAGAACATCTTTCCTATCTTTCCATTTCGACGAACCAAGCTGTTCGCTAAAATCTTTGGGGATTTTAGAAAACACATCGACTGGCTCTGCGAGATCGAAGGCATCAACCTCACCACCATCGTCGTCTATATCTTCGTCCTCTCCTCCACCGGCTTCATCGGCTTCACCACCCGCACCAGCGTCGGCTTCGGCTTGTTGGGCTCGCGTTAGCCGTTCTTGTTTTGGTGGGGGTTCCTGTTTCACCGCCTCAAATAGTTTGTCCAAGTCTTGTTGTTGAACGGGTTTCAATTCAGCCCAGAACACGGGCTTCATCGCTTCTCTGAGCCATCGATATAGCTCTACTGTGAGGCTCTGTGCTTCGGCGCGCACGTTCTTATCGGCATGTCCGAAGACCTTGGGTAAGGCTTTCAGCACCGGTTTGGGATCAACAATTTTGCATCCGAAATTATGATAAATACCGGTCAAGCCGACCAGGGTAGCAGCTATAACTTTCGGCACTTTGTGTGATAGTGTAGGAAGCAACTCTTCGACCACCGGCTCGGGTTTATCTAATTCAACACATAGGAGCAGCGCCTCGAGCGAGCTCGCTTTCGCCGCAGGCCTGGTTTGTGGTAAACCTTTCTCAGCAATACCGGAGACCGTAGATCCGCGCGTCCTTTAATCATGTCAGCCAATATCCGCGCAAACTGCCATCAAATACGATATTTATCAAAGCGGAAGAAAGTACCTCGCGCAACCTGCAGGACCACCATATTGCAAAAATGCACAGTACGCGGCCAACCCCTCCTGTTGTGCAGCGACATTCGAGTCCGTAACCGCGGCCTTCCATAAACTGGAATCTTGGAATTGTGAGAAGATTGGGTCAAATTCGTCCGGTGTCTTTTCAAATTGTTGTTTGGCGTCCTCATATCCTTCTTTCCGGACCTTCCAGTTCTACAGTATCACAACATGTCAGTATACGAAACTCGCGGAGATGGGTCTGGAATCGACAGGGAACGAGCGAACCTTATGAGTGAAACGGTCCGCAAATGGTAGGGAGGAGAAGTCCTCCTCTCCCTCGGCCATGGTGACGTGTTATGGTTTGCTGTGGAAGTCAGGGAAGTTAGCACGCTGCGAAACCGCGTTAAAATGTGGATTGAAGAGAAGTTAATAGTCTAGTTCGCAACAAGATAGGCTATCGGCAGTGTCTGATAGAAGACCCGAAGGATAAAGATCTTTCGAACGATGGGCAGCAGGGGTGCTTTCGGAGAGGGAACAAACCTTAGTCTTGCAGGCGATTGCAGATCTTTGTGCAAGCGGACAGAGTGCGGACAAGGAGTTGCCCACACAACATCCAACCGGAGGGTAGATGGGGTTCGTGGCTTGGCTTCTAGAAGAACGCCGTGAATGGAATAAGATATGCGATGGATATAGATTGTGAGGTTAATTGAGTGGTTGACGGAGAGGGGGCGGGGAGATGATGAAGAGACGGAGACGGATGGAGATGCGGTTCCTGAGTAAACAAATTGGCTGCTTGGGCGACCCAAAGTTGAGGCTTGGCACTGTTATACTCTGCAGCCCAACCCAGTCAGGGTCCGGAACCCTGCGTATTTTGTACCTGTGTTTCACCGGCGCTAGGTTATTTTTTATTTTTATTTTTATTTTATTTTTTTTGACCAGTGAATTTATCAAAATTACTGCTTGATATTTACTTGATAGTACTCTTTGTTACCATCCCGCAAGAAAATGCAGTGTTCTGTCACCCACGGTGTACATTCCCTTATATATAACCCACCCACAGCAGTGGGATCATTAACTCTCCTCTTAACAGTATTATGAGTCCGTTGGAAATCTAGCTTGATTGGTGTTCCCAGTAAACCATACACATAACCTATGTAAAATAATAAAACAATATAATACAGCCCATGCCCAAACTTCATCTAAGTCGACCTCTCACCAGCTGTAGGCGCAGAGGCACCGGCCGTCCTCTCCAAGACCAGCTTCCGAATACGTCCAATATGTTCCTTTCCGTGTCCAGGCGTCTCAGAAGAGGGAATACCAGCCTCCGCCCTTCTCTGCTCCCTGCGCGCCAATTTCGCTTGTCTCTTCTCAGCGCGCAGCGCATCCCTCTCTTCTCTTGACATGACGGGAGGCCTGTCTTCAATAGAGACACCAAACGGCGTAATGATCCGCTCGACAACATGGCGCACGTTACGGTTTTTAGGGTACCCGGATGAGAATTCAATGACATCGCCATGGCGCAGAGAATTTCGCGGATCCGAGACTCTGAATTTGGTGATCTTGGGGTACGACTTTCGCAGGAAGTCGTCCCAAATTGTGTGGCGAACGTCGACGTGAACGCAACGGTCCATACGGCCGGCCGAAACGACTCTGCCTTGTTTCAGGGTGTAGGGGTAGGTGCGGAGAGACGGAGGGTCGGCGGATGGTCGGATGCTCGATTCAGGAGATTCTGCTTGCTGTGAGGATTCGTCCGCAGTGGAAGTAATGAGTCGGTGGGAGATAAGGGTTGGTCGGCCACATTCAAGAGCGGCAGGTGTTTGTGAGGACAGAATCGAGGTCGGTCGGATTATAGACGATCGTAGGGGCTGAATTGCCCGTAAAAGATGCCTGGGCAACATCTTTACTCGCACAAAAGGGCTAGCACAACTATCTATGCCAGTCAGTCTTAGGTTCTTTCAGGGAGCACATTTGAATATTTACTCACTGCGGAACAAGTGAGGCGGCAAAATATCACAGTAGAGGAGCCGGGCCTAACGGAATAGCGATATCGATTAAGTTTCAGGGTGGCACGTTAGAATATAAAGGATTGAAATCCTATCTTTGCAAGTGGTGGAGAGTAAACTCGAAAATGATTGAGTCTTTGGCAGGTCCAGTGATACCAAGAATTTCCTGTCGCGGAGGTTTGCTGGTTTGCTGATTTGCCTTGTTTGTCTTGTTTGCACCCGCCATTGAGAGCCACCATCCTTACCCTACACCTAAGACTCTCGGAATCCATCCAAAGCACTCTAGTTTCCTTGGGACGCATTGTTCTCGGCTGTATAAGTTTCTAAAATGGGGGAAATTATGATAATCGACAGATACGCCTACAGGAATTGCTGGCTCTCCAATCAGAGGATGGCCGCGTAGCTACATGCCTTGCTTTCGGGGCTGCCGCTGGTTCTTAGTTACTATATTCGCTGGCTCTATGGGAAAATAAATGGTCTGGAAATCACCAGACTGCGTTGAAAAGCATTCCGGGGGGAAAGGCAGCCAAATAAAATTAAAGTATGATGAATGGAGTGTTTTCTAGGAAGTAAAATGTGAATCCATCGACGGTCACGAAATACATAGTTCGACGCCTCTAGCCCATTATATGACAGGAGTCGGCTGCATATGCAAGACCCCAACACCTTACCACTTTCCTACCCCTACGTAGGAAAGCAAAAAGAAAACAAATTATCCCGAAATATCACATGTGAGGGATGAGGAACTTGGATCGTATTCCAACGGGGGTTTGTGGAACGCCTGACGGTCTGCATTTAAGCCACATGCGTCCTACTGCGGCCACGGTTGCCCATTTCCATCTTAATGGGACTAAATTCATGTTAGACAATAATCTAAGTCTACTGTGATACGGTTTCCTGCTCTGTAGACATGGCACCGTTCAGAGGCGTCTCCTTGGTTGGGATGTTCGCTGCTGTGTGCGCCGAGATTCTCTTCAGCTCGGTCACAAAAGACTGGCCCCAGAAGGCACTAAAAGGTATTAGCAGACGCTCTAGCCCAAGCCGAGGTTAGACAGACCTTGTATACTTGTTGACATATTTGTCCAACTTGGAGAAGTTCAGTGCCCTTTGCTCATCGCTCATTGTAACCGCTTCGTGATATGCCGCTGCAAGCTCCTCGGTGTTCCAGGGATTGACAATTATACTGCCATTGAGACTTTGGGCAGCGCCGGCAAACTCAGACAGAACCATCGAGCCATGCCGCTTTTCCTGTGTGGCAATATATTCGTATGAGACGAGATTCATACCATCTCGAGTGGATGAGACGATGCAAGCATCGGATACAGCGTACAAGGCAATCAACTCATCAAAATTGACCGACTTATGGAGGAAATGAATCGGCATAAATTCAACGGTGCCTAAGCCACCAGTTAGACCAAAACTCTGTCAATAAGAAGGGGTTGACTCACCGAATTTGCCGTTGATCCTGCCGACGAGTTCGTTCACAACGGCCCTCAAATTCTGGTACTCTTCCACATCTTGCCGACTGGGAACAGCTACTTGAACCAGGACCACCTTTCCCACCCATTCGGGATGGTCACTAAGGAAGACTTCGAGGGCGTGCAGCTTTTGAGGAACACCCTTAATATAATCCAACCGATCAACACCCACCATAAGTTTCACACCCTGGAATTTCTGCTCCAGGGTTGCAATCCGCTTTTGAACCTTTTCTTTCTTCAACCCCTCCTTGAACTTCTCCGGATCAATACCAATGGGGAAAGCCCCACAGGCAATTATCCTGCCCTGGAACTCTATCCCATTGGGAGTAGTTGGTAGACCCCTAGAAGTAGTATTAGTTCCCGTATTGCCGCATTGTTCAAAATACTAGGCTTTACACATACAATAGCCGCGAGCAAGCGCTCAGGAAGTGTCTCGTGTAATCGTAAGTGTGGAAACCGATGAGATCGCAGTGTAGGAGTCCTAGTAACAGTTCGTTTCGTACAGGAAGGATCCGATAGATCTCGCTGCTAGGAAACGGAGTATGAAGGAAGAATCCGATCTTGATGTTTTTCTTGGTATCTCCGATCTCTTCTCGTAGCATCTCCGGAAGGAGCATCAAATGGTAGTCGTGAACCCAGATCAAGTCACCATCTTGCACCTCACTTGCAACGGCCTGTGCGAAGAGGCGGTTCGCATCCTTGTATGCATCCCACGCGGACTCATCGAATGTGATTTCACCGGGGTGGTAATGAAAAAGTGGCCAAAGAATAGAATCTGGTGGGCAGAGTTTTGTCAGCCTAACGACCTATCATCTTGAACTGGGACACTAACTGGAGAATCCGTTGTAGTGTCGGTCTGCAAGTTCATCGTCAATGAACACCGGGATAGCGCCGTACTCGTCCTTTAACCGTTCTTTCACAATAGGTATCTCTTCTTCAGGGACTTCCAAGCCGGGCCAGCCGTACCATTGGAAAGTTGTGGTTTTCGATAAACCGCTGAGACCGCTCACCAAGCCGCCAGAGGACATGGAGAAGTCATATTTGCCATCCTCTGAGCGTTTTATAGTAATTGGCAACCGGTTCGAAACGAGAAGAAGCCTCGATTCATTTTGAGGGGAGTTTTCAACACTGGGCATCGTGGAGGTAGGTATCGATGCGAAGGCCTGAGGGACAGCGAAGGACCGATGACGGAAAGAGGGCAGGCAGGAGTTTCAAAGAGAGTATACGCGCAGTGACCCTGTTGAGAATGAGATTAGTACAGGGGTTGAGCAACAATTGGTGTTGAGGAATGTTCATGAAAAGGGCAAACTCCGAAAGTAAAATGATTGAAAATAAAGTAACACAAATAGATATAGATGAAGCTAGAAGGCACGTGGAATAGTTTGACATGATCATAGGAGCGTCCCGCTCTGCTCAATGGCAGGTGCTCGGCTTACCGTTTCTTTTTGCCTCTATGCGCGGGGAGCTCTCGGCGAGCAAAGCTGATGAGGGGCAACGCTGGGGAAGAGCAACAGAGCAGATAAGTGTCACAAGCTCTTCACTAACGAACGCATGAAGGCAAACGTATATGGAGATCGGCGTTGGTATGGCCGTATCCTCGATTTGTAGTGCAGACCCAGCGCATCCAAGGAATGTTGCAGTGATGACGATAACACCAGATGCCGGGGCGGGACAAATTTGGTCCAGTAACGATGAAGTCAGAGAATCGACCGCCGGAAGCTCAACCAACCACTCAGCAATGCGATCCAGAGCCGACCGCCTCTTCCATGGAACCCTTCTTGGCCTCTGCCAGCTCAAGGCGCTGCTATTATTTATTTGTTATAGGTACGGCAGTTGTCAGTGGAGCTTAAAATTTCTGTATTTGCTACCGCGCTTGGCCTCTAGGCGGAATCTGCGCTGGATTTGCCAAGGTTACCTACTGCTCATCAAACGCTTGTGGCCTGAGGCTACAGAATACATCATACCCTCATGCTAAGATCCAAAAACATCGCACACCCAAATCATAGGGCTGATTTCCCAGCGTTCAGGGTCCATCGGCCTGAGTCAGTATCGTGTATCACCCTCCCTTCAGCTTCCAACTTGTCCAACACCTGGATCACACCGTTGGCGGCTGGAAGATGGAGGCTCTCTGGGACGTCGCGGTAGATTATCTTCACTATCTCAATCGGTGTCCATGCCAACTTTGGTTCAGGTGAGCGCTCCCGTTCCCCGACTTCGAGTTTCCCGTAGCGAAGCACTCGGATTATCTGGTCTTCGCGCTCTTGTCGGTGCCGTATATATTCTGTTATCTTTGCGGTGGCGCTCTCCACCACCGGCCCATGACCCGGGTATCCTCGACCCGAAACACGATTTTGCATTCGCCGTAAGCTGTCAAGGTAGGCCTTTAGGTCCTCAAAAACCGCCGTTCCATGCCCCAAAACATCTAAAAACCACAAGATCAGCAAATCTGCAGAGAAAGAAACGGATACTGCAGCTACTCACTATCACCCGTAAAAACAGCATCCTCCTCCTCAAGCAAAAGCATCATATGGTCCACTGTATGTCCCGGCGTATGAGCCGCTTTAAGCGTTGCCCCTTCAACCTTAAAGGTCTGTCCATCTGCAATATCTACCTGTCCATTCTCAGGCTGGTGCTTGTAAATTGTCACCTCGGGACATAGTTTCAGTAAATCCGGAATGCCGCCAACATGATCATGGTGCCAATGCGTCACAAGAGCCTCGTGAACCGTCGCATTCTCGTCTGACAACACTTTCTTTAAATGTGTTGCCCATGACTGCCTGCCCTCGCCGGTGTCAATAAGGATGCGCCGAGGCCCTTGGCCAACTAAATAAGTATTCGTTCCTGTAAGAAAATATTAGACCCAGATCTTCTCAGCCTGTTCTATGGCATGCAGTAAGCTAACCTTGTAACGTAAACTGTATTTTACAATGCGGCTCAAAGTCAGCAATCTCGATCTTGAATCTGTCGAATATATCTACTCCCGGTCAAAAGCCAGAGAGAAGCCAATATGTTGCAACACACCTTGCCAGGGTTTCCCCCAAGTATCCGCACCACCGAGGCACTGAGCCTCTCCACTTCCGGCAAAGGGGTTAACTGAGCCATCTGAATGATAAAGTCCCGCGCGATATCCGCTTTACTCTAGATGAAAAATGAAAAAAAAAAAAAAAAATACAAACCTGTAAATCAGAGTCAGCGTTTGCAAGATATCATGATGTAGTGAACTCACAAGCTTATAGATGCCGAGGAGAGGTTCACGATTGTGGGTAAATGTAGTACGGAAAAGATGGCGACACTAATAGGAAATGTTAGACACGGATTGCGCCTTTCTCCATCAAATATCTTACCCCAGTTGGGTTGTTCCCACATTCACAAACCACCGAGGCGGGGCAGAAGCGGATGGGGATTAATTGGCCTCGGGCAGTCGGCAGAGCACGCGATCTTATGTCATCGTCCACTGAGACTTGCTAGATTGATAAGCTTGAAGAAACTCTGGGTGTTCGTTGAACTCTCCGAGGCCTATGAGGGTCGGGTATATTACAAGGGTCTCGTCGGTTGACAAGTTGGCCCGTTGGCTCTACAAGTAATCTAGGTGTAGTATCAATGTTTACAGTCGTGGACAAGTTTGAACTAAAGGAAATAGTATATGGTATGCTGCATCCAATCCCTAACATACAATAGAGGGTGTAACAAAAACAAGTGATATATCCATGTAGTCCACCCAATGGGTGCTAAAACAACCCATGAACAGAAAGCGATTCATAAAAATTTTCAGAACCTCACTCCGTGATATCAATCATAGAAAGACCTTAACAGCAACCAAACTGCCGTTCTCTCATCGCTGCTAACTGACCAAAGCACAAGACACATAATTTACAAGAGTCATTTAGTTACCAGACTTGCGGGCCATGGTGTTGAGGGCAGAGCCATCCTTGAACCACTCAATCTGGGACTCGTTGAAGGTGTGGCTGAGCTTGACGTCGAAGGAGGCACCGTCCTTGGGGTGAACACGGAGGGTCATGGGCTTGTCAACAGCAATCTCGGTGCAAAGGAGGTCGACCTTGGCATCAGGAGGAATGCGGTCGTAGTCGGCAGGGTCGGAGAAGGTCAGAGGGAGCATACCCTGCTTCTTAAGGTTGGTTTCGTGCTGGAGAATATTGTTAGTCTTGACAGCACAAACTAATGGGGGTATGTAGAGTGACTTACAATACGGGCAAAGCTACGAGTGATGATAGCAAGACCGCCAAGGTGACGGGGCTCGAGAGCAGCGTGCTCACGAGAACTACCCTCTCCGTAGTTCCAGTCACCGATAACAACCCACTTGATGCCGCGAGCCTTGTAGTCACGAGCAGTAGCAGGGACAGCATCATAGTCGCCGGTGAAAGCGTTCTTGATCTTGTTGGCCTCGCCGTTCTCGGCGTTGACAGCACCAATCAGCATGTTGTTGGAGATGTTGTCAAGGTGGCCACGGTACTTGAGCCATGGGCCGGCCATGGAGATGTGGTCAGTGGTGGTCTTGCCCTGGCACTTGATCAGAATTGGGATGTCAGTAGCATCCTTGCCGTTCCACTTCTCGAATCCGGCAAGGAGCTGCAGACGGTCACTGCTGGGGGAGACAGCAACGCTGACACTGCTGCGGTCAGCAGGGGGGGCCTGGTAGGTGTCACGGCCAGGGTCGTAGCCCCGGTTGGGAAGACCGTCACCAGTGGGGGGCTTCAGCTTGAACTCCTTGCCATCCTTGTCCTTGAGGGTGTCGGTAACAGGGTTGAAGTTGAGGGTACCAGCAATGCTCATGGCAACGACAAGGTCAGGAGATGTGACGAAGGCGTGGGTGGCAGGGTTGGCATCGTTACGACCGGTGAAGTTACGGTTGTAGGAAGAGACGATCGAGTTGGGAGTACCCTTCTTGACGTCCTGGCGATCCCACTGACCGATGCAAGGACCGCAGGCGTTGGCAAGAATGACACCACCGAATTCCTCAAGAGTCTGGAGCTGGCCATCGCGCTCGATGGTAGCACGGATCTGCTCGGAACCGGGCGTAACAGTGAAGAGAGACTTAGACTTCAGACCGTGGTCGAGAGCGTCCTGGGCGATCGAGGCAGCACGGGACATGTCCTCGTAAGAAGAGTTGGTGCAAGAGCCGATCAAACCGACCTTGAGCTCCTCAGGCCATCCGTTGGCCTTAACGGCCTCCTTGAACTGAGAGATGGGGGTGGCCAAGTCAGGGGTGAAAGGTCCGTTGATGTGAGGCTCGAGCTCGGACAAGTTGATCTCGATCAGCTGGTCGTACTCCGCACCCTCGTCCTCGCGGAGGTCCTTGGCATAGGAGCGGGCGAATTCACCAATGGGCTGACGCTTAGTGACCTTCAGGTAGTCGTACATGCGGTCGTTGAAGGGGAAAAGAGAGGTCGTAGCACCGATTTCAGCACCCATGTTACAGATGGTAGCCATACCGGTGGCAGAAAGCGAGTTGACACCAGGACCGTGGTATTCGATGATAGCGCCAGTACCACCCTTGACAGTGAGAAGACCAGCGACCTTGAGGATGATATCTAAGATAATAATTAGTAACTTGTTGGTCCAAAGCTTAGGCATTGTAACTTACCCTTGGGAGAAGTCCAGCCGGACATCTCACCAGTGAGCTTAACACCGATGACCTTGGGCGCCTTCAACTCCCAAGGAAGGCCGGCCATGACATCGACGGCATCGGCACCACCAACACCAATAGCAGCGATAGCAAGACCACCAGCGTTAGGGGTGTGAGAGTCGGTACCGATCATCAGACCACCGGGGAAAGCGTAGTTCTCCAGGATGATCTGGTGAATAATACCAGAACCGGGCTTCCAGAATCCAATGTTGTACTTAGCAGTCGAGGAAGCAAGGAAATCGTAAACTTCCTTGTTGATCTCGTTGGCACGGGCAAGATCCTTCTCACCACCAAGCTGGGCCTCAATCAAGTGGTCACAGTGCACGGTGGTGGGGGTTGCGACGGAGGGCATTCCAGCGGACATAAATTGCAGGATGGCCATCTGAGCGGTAGCATCCTGGCAAGCAACACGATCAGGGCGGAGCTTCAGGTAAGACTTTCCACGCTCAATGTCTTGGCCATGGGGGTCGTCAAGATGGGAGTACAAAATCTTCTCGGCGTATGTGAGCGGGCGTGTCAGGCGACTGCGAACAACGTTTAGGTTCTCAGACATCTTCCTATCAAGTTCAAAACCATGTTAGTCAGTGCCAAATATTTGGGCTCGCCATCTTGCAGTATGCAAAAATCGAAGAGCTAAAAGGTGACTCCATACTTGTAGTTGATGTAGTTGCCCTGCAGATGCGACGGTTAGCGGAATTTGTCCCGGAATTTGTCCGGCGTTACGAGCTCGGCCGGGGCAACCGAAGATAACCACCTGGCACGGCTGCAGGATTGACCACTTACCTTTTCGTGGATACACATCTCGACCTTCTTGTCGAGAGGGTCAACGGCGGTGGCCATGCCCCGGGTCCCGAAAAGCTAAATAGAAAGTTAGTATTGTCTCGGTCTTTGAATTCCCATTATTCCTGGCTGGGAGCTGCCAAATGGAGCTCTTACGAGGCGGGACTTGGGGGCCTGCGATCAAACTGGGTTAGCCTCGAGACGCAAAAATACTACACAAGCGGACAAGTCCATTGCGCACAACAGTTCCAATCCAATGTGCAAAATGGTAGAATCAGGGCGACTTACCAGCGCACCCATGCGCGCAAGGCGTGTGGTAATCATGATGGAAGCTCTCTATGCAAGATGGCTGGGCCACGACACACTGGAGAGCTATTCCAAGTAGCAGCAATAGCCAGCTTCAATCTGGGGAAGCAGCAAAAGATGGAGTGGAGAGTGAAGTGTGGGAGAAGAAAAGAGTTAGAAAACCCAAGGGAAGGTTGTCAATTAAAAGGAAGCTTGGGATTTCAAGTGCGAGAATTCCTGTTTGACCATTTGCGACCCTGCTCCTCTGAACCGGAGTGGAGGAACCGTAACCGCTGATTACAGTACAGCCGTCCGTACGCTTTCGGACCGCCCCATACCAGACATGCAACCGGAGACATGGATGACTTTAAAGAGCTCCCTGAGCGGTCATTGAAAGGAATGCTTTGTAGGATACGCCCGATTTGAGACTTTCAATCTACTTATATGATTTATGTACACAAATTTTACTTTTTCTAGAGTTGAAAGGCTTTGATGGGTTCGGCAGGCTGGTATTGCAGTTAGATTCCCATGGCGACCATCAATACAGTGGTATTGTAATTATGTCTTCGGTAATTTTGGCATGTGAGACCGGTAATTCAAATAGCCAATGAAAATGATTTGATTACACCCAGACTCTTTGAGAGCAGTCTTACATCATAACGAGACCACCGCGTGATACCATGTTCAATTCACTATATAGAGGCTTATGGGAGGCTGAAGTCCATATTAACATCCAATAGCCCCTGTTTTTTATATTTTATTCTCGTATGGCCTCGCGCAGAAGCTCAAACCCATGAGACGAAGATTACTTTGTTTCTCCCGCAAGTGGCCGGCGAACATTCGGAGGGAAGGTGCCGAAAATAGTGGAATCGTCATAAAAATACCGCGCCAGCGATGGCCGTACGGAGAAACGCCCAAGGTGAATGCTGACTGAGCCGAACAAGAGCCGAGGCCTACCGAAAAGAGTGCCTCCCGCGGCCCGCCGCCAAGAGCTGGTCGACCTGGGCCAATCACGGCTACCGAGTTTGCTCACAGGAGCCCTTCCACGCACACAAGAGCGAACGGCTGATTCCTGACCCGCTTTCACATCGCCGCGGCCTTAGCTTTATTCCGTTTATCGGTCATCGATCACATCCACAGACTCCATACTGAGGAAGAACGCTTTTGCGCACAAGGTCGGATCTACTTTTGGGTCGATAATCTGCAAGATGGGAGCTGTGAGGAGAACGAAGACGAAGCGCAGGACTAGGTATGATGGTTCCCTTTTTTGTGGTTAAACTATGGTGAATGAGAATTTGGCACTGATAAGAATTTTTTCTTTCTAGAGACTATGACCAGGTCCGCGCGGATGTCGAAAGCGCAAAGCACCTTTCGCAATACAAGGCGACACAGGATCCCGAAGACCTCCCCGGCCTAGGGAGGCATTACTGCGTCGAATGCGCCAAATGGTTTGAGAGCGATTACAACCTGGTGGCGCATAGGAAAGGCAAAAATCACAAAAGAAGGTCCGTCATTGTTGCCGCTTCCTCATCTGCGCGACTCGAGCTGACCCGGGCTTTTTTTGGATAACAGGGTTCGTCTGCTCCGTGAAGAACCGCACTCCCAGAAGATTGCCGAAGCTGCTGTAGGCTTGACCACCGATAATGGTGAGCGCCCGCAGGAGGGTGATAATATGGCCATGGATAACTAGACTCCCACGTCTGCCTGATATGGCCTCTGGCCAGTTCTGCGGCCGCCAACTGTTACGGTACCGCAGTTACGAAATATGTGCTTTGCCTCTTTGCCAATTACGTGGCAGGCAAAATATTTACCTCCCGATGCACCTTCGTCAAATGCGTGGCGATAATAATCACCTCAACGAAAAAGAGCTTCCAAGTTGAATGAAGCTCCATGTGCTTGAAAAAAAAAATTTCAGCCAATCACAATGTCTCCAATTTCAGACGACACGTGAATCAAGAAGTGCCGAATGTCGCCGGTTCTGCCCCATGTCGCCGAGTCGGGCGGCGCATTGCTGCGGTATTCCCGGCCACTTCGCCGCTTATCGGAACTTGTACATGATACAGGTCCACTTTTCCCTGACATCGAAATGAAATTATTTACAAAGAACCGCTAGCATAGGACACGTTAAACTTTGCATACTAAGAAAGCTGGGGCAATCTTCACCGGGAGCTGTTATAGTCATGGCGCATTTATCTAGACTCCCAAGGCGTAATGTTATGATATGAGTTTCTGACACTTATCCCTCATTACCCTGTACACATGAATATCCCAAACTCGAAGCACTAAGGTACTCGATTGGGCTTGTATCTGGAATTCTATACCAAGCTTCCCCGGAGCATCAACACAGTGGGCTGGCCTGAGTCGAGTAATGTTTTAAGCCATGTGGAGCTTGGTGTCTGTAGTTCCTTGTCGTTGACACCAGTCCCAAAGTATATGAAAGGTCCTTGAGAAAGGATATATATATATTTGTCTTGGCATGGCATTTGATCTAAAAACAAAGCTGCCATAAGTTGTCTGGTGTTGTATTGTTGAATCAGTTGGAGTTACCATACAACGGACAATGCTCTAACTCTATAAAATGTCTATGATATATCTTTGAGGGGTTGATCCCAGGATCGATTTTGGAAATATTTCATAAGCCACTCATATGCCGCCCACTGATTTACGTTGTTAGCAATGAACCCATGAAGGAGGCGAAAATACATACCTGAGCCGCATTCACAATGAATGCCCGTAGACTGCATACTCCTAGGCCGCGATAGAAGGCCTTGAGGCCATCAGTCCGATATACTTCCCTCGCTAGTTTAAAGGCACCAAATTCTCGTTTGTTGGCTTGTGATTCTAATAACGGACGGCCTTCGGTATAACCTTCAATTGTATTTGCCTGCATTCGTGTTTTTATCACGTCAAGTGGGAAGACCGAAGCCCATGTAACGATTCCAGCAAGACCACCGCAGAAGAGGACTTTCAGCGCGGCGCTGTTTGAATCTTCATCCCCAGGAGTGGCCATTAAACGCTTGCAATATTCGTAGGACCAGAAACTGTAGTCTTGGGTAAATGAATGTTCGGACATGGGATTCGTCTGAGATAAAAAAAGTCGATATAAACTTACTAGAAACCATAGCCTATAGAGTCCCTGGCACAAGTTATTCCGCCAGCGAAATACAAGCCCCTCCAGCCGCGATTCCGAATGATGTCTTTCGCGACGCTCCAGGACGAGACTTCTGGGCGAGCGTCAAGCTGGGCTCGACATTTGATGAACTCCGTAGGTGCGGAGACGGTCCAGCTGGCAACGCCACCCAATGCTCCAGCAAGCCATAGTTTGTATAGGGCACAATTTTGAGGATTCGTGGGATCATTGATGGAATCATCCAACAGCATCAGTGATCGATTGTAGGACACGAATAGTAAGGCATTGAGGGCCCCATATCCAAGAATTGGGGCCGCCGCGCCTGAAAATAGGTTAATATTATCTCTATTCACACTTATATCAACATACCTCGCACGAGAGAGCTTGTGCTTTCAAATCGAGTCAGTTGCCGAGGTTCCGCAGAGCCATTTGCAGGGCTACTTGCTTGTAATCGGACTTTAATGAGGTCGAGAGGGTTCCCGATAACTATGCCAATAGCCCCGCTAATATAGCCGGCCCAGAAGTCTGATGACATGGGCAGAACACTCAACCCGCAGGTACTACTCACTATCGGGGGGCATGCATGCAAGGTCCACGGATCCAGGGTAATGCATTGCGGGGGAAGGCAGACCTTATCTTATCAACACGTGACCACGCGATCTTTTGGCGTCTGACTGACGGCTCGCTTTTGCAACACGCGTGGGCCAGAGGCAAACATACCCTCAGACACGGCTTCGACCACGGGTGAACCGCGCAAACTGGCCGATATTACTGATGTGAGTTTTTGAGTCGCTATATTACGATGTGGCATAGGGTTCTAATCCAAGAAGGTATCGCCCACGACCCTCCAACCAAGGCGACGATGTTACACAGACAGCATCGCGCGTCAGCGCAACTTCCAACTCCATCGATCGCCTATCGAAGCCATTCAGATGCCCCGGATCAGCTACACCGACTCGGGCCTCAGATAAGCCTGCAAGGAAGCGAAGGAAGGTAAATTATGCTGGGGCTGATGGAAATGACGACAACGGCGTGAAGCCGTATACGAACGAGGAACGCCTGGCGCTTGCCACCCGAGATGTCAACAGATTTCCGGTTTTTAAAGCGAAGGACAAAGATTTCACTTTCAAACAAAGGTTTAAAGTGCCTTTGGTGGACAAGTCGACTGGTGGATACGACAGCTCTCGACCCGCACCTACACTGGGGATGAGACAGGGAGCTACGTTCGTCGTGAAGCCTTTGCATGATCCGAGCGGAGAATTTGCGATCGTCCTGTATGACCCGACGGTTGATGATATCGATAATTCACAACAAGAAAAATCAGGTAAACCAGATGACGCCGAAGATAATAACTCGAAGCTGGACGAACCCCTGGTACATAAAAGCTTAGCGGATATACTTGGGCTGAAAAAGAAGGTGGAAGATCGCCCAAAAGTTCCAGTTGTTATAGACCCAAGGCTGGCAAAGATCTTACGCCCTCATCAAGTGGAGGGAGTTAAGGTAAGGCCTTGGCAGAGCTTTTTTTTTTTTTTTTCGCCTCGCAGGTTCCAACTAACCATTATAGTTTCTCTACCGCTGCACTACGGGAATGATCGACAAAAATGCCAATGGCTGCATTATGGCTGATGGCATGGGTCTCGGAAAGACGGTATGCGATCCTGCCATTCCATGTGTTTCATGAGACTTACCATGACAGTTGCAATGTATTGCATTAATGTGGACACTTCTGAAACAATCCCCCGAGGCCGGAAGGACGACTATTCAGAAGTGTATCATTGCGTGTCCTTCAAGTTTAGTAGGGAACTGGGCCAATGAGCTTGGTAAGCAATGCGTTGGCGCTCGCTGGACACTGACTGACAAAGGCAGGAAAATGGCTCGGGCAGGGTACTATCACCCCGTTTGCAGTGGATGGTAAAGCATCGAAGACGGAACTGATAACCCAATTGAAACAATGGGCAATCTCATCAGGTCGGTCTGTTGTAAGGCCGGTACTCATTGTCTCTTACGAGACCCTGCGGATGTATGTCGACACATTGAAGGACAGTCCAATTGGACTGCTTCTATGCGACGAAGGCCATCGATTGAAGAATAAAGAAAGCTTGACCTGGACGGCACTTAATAGCTTGAATGTGCAACGCCGAGTGATATTGTCTGGTACTCCCATTCAGAATGATCTCTCGGAATATTTTGCTCTTCTCAATTTCGCAAACCCAGACCTACTTGGGTCACAAAACGAATTTCGAAAGAGATTCGAACTGCCCATTCTTAAGGGAAGAGATGCAGCAGGCACAGAGGAAGACCGAAAGAAAGGCGATGAGCGTCTAGTCGAACTTTCAGGCATTGTTAACAAGTATATCATTCGGCGGACAAACGACATCCTATCGAAGTATTTGCCTGTCAAATATGAGCATGTGGTGTTCTGCAATCTGTCGCAATTTCAACTTGGCCTGTACAAACACTTCATTGACAGTCCCGAGATAAAAAGTCTTCTTAGGGGCAAAGGAAGCCAACCCTTGAAAGCGATTGGACTTCTTAAAAAACTGTGCAACCATCCAGATTTGCTTAGCCTTTCTAATGACCTTCCGGGTTGCGAGCACACGTTCCCCGATGATTATGTTCCCCCCGAAGCAAGAGGCAGAGACAGAGATGTCAGGCCTTGGTACTCAGGGAAAATGATGGTTCTTGACAGGATGCTGGCTCGAATACGTCAAGATACGAATGACAAGATTGTCCTTATCAGTAACTATACACAAACGCTTGATGTTTTTGAGAAGCTTTGCAGGACAAGAGCGTACGGCTGCTTGAGACTGGACGGTACGATGAACGTGAAGAAACGCCAGAAGCTTGTCGACAAGTTCAATGATCCCGATGGCGAAGAATTCGTGTTCCTTCTCAGCAGTAAAGCCGGTGGGTGTGGTCTGAACCTGATCGGTGCTAACCGCCTGGTGTTATTCGATCCCGATTGGAACCCGGCGGCTGATCAACAGGCACTCGCACGAGTCTGGCGTGACGGTCAGAAGAAAGATTGTTTTGTTTATCGCTTCATTGCGACGGGGTCCATCGAAGAAAAGATATTTCAACGCCAGTCTCACAAACAGTCTCTTTCCTCCTGTGTGGTAGACTCAGCCGAAGACGTCGAGCGACATTTCTCTCTGGACTCCCTCCGTGAACTATTCCAGTTCAAGCCGGAAACAACGAGCGATACACACGATACTTTCAAGTGCAAGAGGTGCAGACCTGATGGAACGCAGTATATTAAGGCCCCAGCTATGCTCTATGGCGACACCAGTTCATGGAATCACTTTGTGAACAGCGGAGAACAGGGGCAGATGAACCAAATCCAAGACCTCCTTATTCGACAAGAGACTCAAGAGCGAGATGTTTCTGCAGTTTTTCAATATATCAGCCATTGATTAGAGCACCTAGGGCCATTGCCCAGCAGCGTTGGAGTTCTTATGGTGATATTGACTATTGGACCAGAGCCCTGTCTTGTTTGCTGAGAGGGCTAGGTATTCTGGACCGAGATTCTATGGGATACTGGATTAGCGGGTTATTGGGATATGTAGCTAGACAAGTTTTGATAATAACATGAACCTACTTAGTACTAGTGGTACCGTGGCACTTCTGCTGTCTGTGCTCCTGCATGGGAACCGTGGGCAGAGGGCGGGCCCGTGTAGAGCTACCGGGAGAATCTAGGCGCACTCCCCCCTCCACTACGTCACTCCACTTCTGCCAACGCATCTCACTGTTGCTCCCCACATGGCTTTCTGACGACGCGACAGAGCCTTTCAACTGGTTTCTTTAAGCTCTTTGTTTCCTTGTGCTGCCCCGAAAACTAGGCAGCTCTTCCGAGTCCGATCCCTATCACCACCGCAACGGGCCCGTCTTTCCTCCAGCTCACGGCGCATTCCCAGCTCACCGCCCAAACCCCAACGGGCTACCACCATGAGGATAGTTGGTTAGAGCAGCAGCCTATGTTTGCTTGAGCGATGGATCACTCAATCCAGCGGTTGCTGAATGATAAGCTCTATGATCGCCGGAAGCAAGGAGCGTTAGAGTACGTACATCCTTCTTATCGCGGTGACGTGGAGGGCCGAGTGCTTGATGATTGCTGACCTCTTTCCCTTCGAAACATTTAGACTCGAGAAAGTCGTCCGGGATTCCGCGTTCAAAGGAGAGCATGAAGTAATTCAGAAAATCGTCGACCAGCTATGCCACGACTACGCCTATGCAGTTCATCAGCCTCATGCGAGAAATGGGGGTCTTATCGGATTGGCTGCGGCCTCGATAGCACTGGGATCAGTGAGTTTATCGGTCATGCGGGCGGTGACACAATAGATGCTGAGAGTACTAGGAGGGAGTTGCTCCCTATCTCAAAGAGATCGTGCCGCCGGTACTTGCGTGCTTCTCGGACCAAGATGCGAGGGTTAGATACTACGCTTGCGAGAGCATGTACAACATCGCCAAAGTTGCGAAAGGAGAAGTTTTACTATTTTTCAACGAGGTATTCGATGCGCTAAGTAAGGTGTGTTTCTTAAATGCTATATACATGGCAAGAAACCTCTTTATTAACATGAACGTAGCTTGCCTCCGACTCTGAACTGTCCGTCAAAAATGGAGCGGAACTCCTTGACCGACTCGTGAAAGACATCGTTTCTGAATCGGCTGCCCACCATGTCTCTGTTCTACAGCTATCCGAAAAGCAGACTTCCGACCCTGATGCTTTAACAGATGACCTTCCAACAGCGTTCTCGCTTCCTAAGTTCATACCGTTGCTCAAAGAACGAATACATGTCCTCAGCGCATTTACTCGGACTTTCTTAGTGTCGTGGTTAACCTTGCTGGATACAATTCCCGATCTAGAGCTTGTATCTTATTTGCCAGAATTCCTTGCGGGCTTGATCAGATTTTTGGGCGATCCAAATGGAGATGTCAACGTTGCTACCCAAGGTCTTCTCGACAGGTTCCTGGCGGAGATTAAAAGGATTGCTCGTCTTAAGAAGGGCCTTGCAGAAAGTCGCAAAGGACAAGAGAGTGACAATAGGCGATCGAATACAAGCGATACTACGAGCCTAGCCACAGACCCGACAGCCGCTATCGACGCTGAAAGCAACGATATCGCAATAGAAGATTCCGAAGCTGAATTTGCCGTTGAGGAAGAGGGACTGCATACTGATGGTGATTGGATCCCTGGCCAAGATGTCCAAATCGACTATCCGAAGATCCTAGATATCCTTGTGGGATTTGTTGATACCTCATTTGGTAAACATTCCTAGCCCTACCGAACCTGACCGTTTGCTAATATTTTACTAGACGAGGAGATGCAGTTGACTGCTTTGCGTTGGATTGATAGCTTTTTCGAAATCAGCCCAGAAGATATTCTTCCTTTTGTCCCACGCCTTCTTGATCAAGTCCTCCCAGCACTCTCTAGCAGCTCGCATCCCGTGAAGGAGACTGCAACCAGGGTCAATAACTCGCTGCTGCAATACATATTCAGTTTAACTCTATCCGAAGATGCCTCAGACGATTCACGACATAGTACGACTTCCAAGCTACCCCAGACAACTACGAAAGAGTTTGCTGAACGAAGAGCTTCTACACCAAGCAGTAGGACTGATGCGCCGGCCACTGATTCTAAGAGAGCTTCACCCCGGAATAGTATCATGTCCGCTGCCACAGTACCCACTCCGGAACTTGACTATGGCTCAGCTGTTAGCTCTCTCACTCTTCAGTTCTTGAATGAAAATGAAACCACCAGAATAGGTGCCCTTTCATGGCTCCTAATGCTACACCGTAAAGCCCCGAAGAAAGTTTCCGCATTCAATGATGGGATCTTCCCTGTGCTTCTCAAGACATTGTCTGATTCATCGGAGGCTGTTGTTACGAAGGATCTTCAGCTTCTGTCCCAAATTTCGAGGAACAGCGAGGATAGCTATTTCAAAGCATTCATGGTGAGCTTGCTGCAGTTATTTTCGACGGACAGAAATTTGCTTGAGGTCCGCGGAAACCTTATTATTCGACAATTATGCTTGAATTTGAGCCCTGAACGGATCTACCGGACTCTTGCGGACTGTCTTGAGAAGGAAGATGTGAGTTTTGCATACGATATACGAGCTCTACGTTTTTAACCTTGGCGCTACTTTAGGACATCGAGTTTGCTAGCATCATGGTGCAGAACCTGAACAATAACTTGATTACGGCACCGGAGTTGTCAGAATTAAGAAAACGACTGCGGAACCTGGACTCCAAGGTAATTGGGACCTAAATTATATGACCTGAAGCCGTGGCTGATCTTAAACAATAGGATGGCCAAACGTTCTTTGTAACCCTTTTCAGGTCTTGGTGTCACAATGCAGTCTCAACCTTTTCGCTCTGTTTACTGGCGCAAGCTTATGAGCAGGCATACAATCTTCTCCAGGTCTTGTGAGTGAAGCTGTCATGAACGCCCTAAACATGACTAATATTTCTACAGTGCCGAGCTCGAAATGACGGTCAACATGCTAATCCAAATCGACAAACTCGTCCAGCTACTGGAATCTCCAGTGTTTACCTGTATGTTCTAATCTAACAATACTCCCCCTAACGCCGTTGAAAAAACGAGCACTAAACTCGCACTAGACCTCCGTCTCCAGCTCCTTGAACCGGAACGATATCCATTTCTATACAAATGCCTCTACGGTGTTCTAATGCTCCTCCCCCAAAGTTCTGCCTTTGCTGCACTCAAAAACCGCCTTAATAGTGTTAGCAACATCGGCCTCCTCCACACAGGACCTCGCCTGTATGTCCGACCCTCTCCACACTTACATTTATAACAGGTCCCTGACACTAAAGAAAACATACACAGGTCCTCCATGGCATCGACATCCACGCCAGGTACATCAAGCTACGACCGCAGCAGCACGCGCCTCAAACAGCGTGATGAAAACTCCATCCGCTGGGTCGAGCTCCTAGACAAATTCAAGTCCGTGCAGGAAAAGACCCGCTCGACACAACGGCACTCACAGCGCCCCTTCGACACCGATGCACCCTCGCCCTTCCAACAACGCGCTTCCCTCTCGTCTGCACTCAGTGGCGCTGACCCGATGCGCAGAGACAAGACTCTTCCCGATACCCCGCGCGCTGGCTTCGGTGGTATTGGCGGCCGCTCGTCACCTGCTGATGGCGCTGGCGGTGGTGCTGGTAGTAGTGCGAAGGGAGGAGGGATTCTTGGTACGCAGAGGCAGAAATCTGGCTTGACGAATTTGGGACGGTTGAGAATTGGGGGTGGGAAGAGTAAGCGCTGAGATTATTAGGGATTATGCTTGACCTACCTAGAAGCTGAACCTTATGCATGCTTTCCGTCTCTTCTATGCACTCTATCTATCTTCTGTATTATGTGACTACTGTTTGTCTCAATAGGTTATACCATCCCGGATATGTTACAATTGACGGGTAGTATACGGTAAAAATGATAATGATAAGATTGAATGTTGACTCTGATTGTGAATTTACTCGAGGGCACCGCATAGCACGTCCTCAAGACGCAGAAAACTTATATATACTAAGCCTAACCAAGAAAATGGGTCAAGAACAAAGTAAACAAAGTACCTCCAAAAAATCGCTAAACGAGGTTCAGCCCAAATAGAAAAGCTGTAACATATATATGAATAGGTGCATCAGACTCGTGGCTGCTAACCTTCCTGAGTGCTCACATGATTCATGAGTGTTTGAGCAGGGAACGGAAAAGAATTCCGACGAAAATGCAAAACAAAGAATATACAAGAATTCATTAAATCGCGTCCGAATAGGGGGAAAAAAACCAAGAGAAAAAAGGTAAATGAGTAGGGTTGCCTAGCGAGACAAGCCTACCTAGGTCAAGAAAAGAAGCTTTTGACCAGGAAATCGCTCAAGTAGCAAAAAAATCACCGAATGCATGAGGCGCTCGTCCAAAGTCCGGGCGAGGGGAAAACAAGAAGGTAGAAGGCATCATTGCAACCTCCACGTGGGACATAACGCAGAGGATACATCGTCACAGAAAAGGTCAGAGGTCCTAGCTCGTATCACCGGGATCGCGGGTCGCTTGATGATGAACCCCAGGACGGGACCTTCCAGTGGGACCCGGTGGAGTGTTTCGAAACTGTCCCAGATGAGGAGTTTGAGCTGTTCGAGTAGACATATTCTCCGTCAACATATTGGACTTCGGTGAATGTGGTGCGGTGCTTGCGGCGAGCATATCGTTGCTCCAACCGGTAAATTTCCAGCCCTGTATTGATTGCATATTAGTATTTTGCGCTCGATTTAAATGGCGAACACCCGCCACTGGCTCTTTAATAGATATGCGGATGCGTTCGACGGGGAAACTGGGAGACGTACTTGCTTGTAGCTTTTCGATGAGACCCATGGTGTAAAATGAATTTGTGGTTCTTCCCAATATCCAAGGGCGCGAACAGGGTTGATTGTTTCTTGGACGGTTTAAAAGAGGGTAGGTTAACGAAGACACTAGACAGTTTATATTCAAGCTGATTCTATTTTGAAGAACATCAGGACATTAGCGATTGCGCGTTCAATAAATGATGATCCGGATGTCCCGTTGGTGCCTGAGGACAAGGTTCGGGTGGGGAGATAGCTGATAAGGGGTTTCGCCTACCAATTCAATATAGTGGTATATGTTCTGGCAAAAATTGACGTTGTGAGGCTGATATTAAACAACGGATATGCTGTTGTGGAAGAAAGCCAGTTAAAAAGGAGAGGCGAGCGATTTGAGTGAGAGGGGAAAACGCAGGGACAAGGAAGGATCAGGGAATGGAGCTAACAATTGTGGGACGGGGATGCAGTTAACTCCAAACAAATGAGAGACGTCAGAGAGTTAGACAGCAGACTAACCAGTGGCACTAATGGAAGAAGACGGATAATATATGTGATCTGGACTCGATAGCGTATCTTGAGTGCAGAAACCGTTCTGGCGTGGAGAGATTCTTTGCAGCAGGAAATTGTGCGTGCAACAAGCCCAAAAGCAACAATGTGATGCCAGCCACAACAAACGATGACGATAGCGTTCCAACGAAAAGAAAGTGGCGGGAAACGAAAGAAAGGAATGCAAACCCAAGGAAGCGAACGAATGACAGCTAAAGAGCGAAAAGAATCGACGGAATGCAGGAATGGCGACAGACAGCGACGAGAACGAGCGACGGGGGATGGAGGAGTGCGTGTCAGTTGGACGGGTCGAGTCGAGGAGTCTCCCGAGTCGAGATTCGAGAAGAGGAGAAGAAGAAGTGGAGAGCAACGTGGGATTGGGGGCTGCGCTAGGCCACTTGCAGCCTAGCCAGGGGCCGATGCGCTCTATATTAATTGGAATTATTATGTCGTCCGCGGCCCATCCGGCAAGGCCTGCGTCTGTTCAAGGAAGGAAGAATCGTTCATATTCAATAATGGTCTATCACGCTTTGTGTAAAGTTTAACTGAACTCCAAGACTATTCTCTATTTCTTAGGTGTCATGTCTTTGACTTCCCCAGCCGTCTCCCCCTCAAGCTCCGCATTCCGTTCATATTCTGGGTCCTGCGCCAGTGACGTTTCTTGGGCTGCGGAGGGCATGTCAGCATTCTTTGTCCAGCAGAAAATGACGCGCGGTTAGACCCCGACTTACCATGCCAAAGCTCGGCGTAGATGCCGTCCGTATCAAGTAGTTCACGGTGGGATCCCAATTCCGCAACTTGCCCTTCCTTCAGCACTAGAATCTGATCACAGTCGCATATCGTTCGCAAGCGATGCGCGACGAACACACTTGTCCGTCCCTTCTCCTTCAGAATACTGTTGATGTTTTGCATCAAAGCTTGCTCGGTGTATGTATCAAGGGCGGAGGTCTATATGCATCAGTTAGAAACCATTACTTCAGGGTTGCTCCGGACCAGCTACTTACTGCTTCGTCAAAGAACAGCAGCTGAGGGTCTTTCAGAAGCAGCCGGGAGATAGCCAGCCGCTGTTTTTCTCCACCAGATATCATCATTCCACGCTCGCCAACAGCTGTGTTGTAGCCATCGGGAAGCTTCTCGATGAGCTCATGAATATGTGCTCGTCGAGCGACCTTGCGGACCTCCTCGTCCGAAGCCTCCAGCCTTCCATAGCGGATATTATGTTGAATTGAGTCATTGAACAACGGCGTATCTTGCGGAACGACACCAATCGATTTTCGCAAGCTTTCTAGTGTGACATCCCGAATATCCTGTCCATCCACTAGGATCCTTCCTTCTTGGACGTCGTAAGATCGGAAAAGGAGTCTCAAGATGGTAGACTTGCCACAACCGCTAGGGCCAACGATAGCAAATTTCTGACCAGCAGGAATTGTAAAACTAGCATTTCTGAGGATGGGACGGTCGGGGTGGTATCCAAAAGTCACATTTTCAAATCGGATCTGGCCGCCCTGCTTGAGGGCTAGCTGTTTGGCGTCGGGCCGTTCCCTGATGTTGACATTAACTTTTTGTAAGTTGAACAATGTTTCCATGTCGAGCAGCGACTGGCGCAACTCGCGGTAAACGGAACCCAGGAAGTTCAGAGGCACTGAAAGTTGGAAGACGAGCTGGTTGACCATGACCAGATCACCAACAGTCAGCTCGCCGGCAGCAACTCCATCGGCGGCAAGATACATCATAGCTGCGAGGGCGCTGGAAAAGATCATATTTTGACCGGAGTTCAGGAAAGCCAGAGACGTTGTGACTTTGATGGAGGCGTCCTCATATGCTTTGAGGGCCTTGTCGTAACGTGCTACCTCAAACTTTTCGTTGTTGAAGTATTTCACCGCTTCATAGTTGATCAGAGAGTCGACCGCAACCGTGGCTCCCTTGTTATCTGCTGCATTGGCTTGCTTTCGAAACTTCGTTCTCCAAGCTGTTGTTGTTATTGTGAAAGCAGAATAGGCTAACATGGTCGTCGCGGTTATCGCAGCAAATTTGAGCCCATACTGATGTGTCTATTATTTTTATTAGAAATGCCAGAAATACACCTATTGCAGACGGCAGACATACCAAGATACCGCACACAAGGGAAATCTCTAAAGCCGTAGGTACGACGTGGAACACCATTGACGTCAGGAGAAAGCTGATACCTTTCGTTCCACGGTCAATGGCCCTGGTCAGACCTCCGGTCTGTCGTGAAAGATGAAAGTTGAGATCTAGTCGTAACAAGTGCTCAAAGACATTCCGCGCAACCTTGCGGATTGCTTTCTGGGCGACACTCGCGAAAACAGCATTTCGAAGCTCTTGGAACAGAGTGGCTCCAATTCTGGTAACACCGTCTGCGATAGAGAATCAGTCACTTGCAGTCTTCAAAAAAAAAAAAAAAAAGAATAGAAAAGAAAAGAGTCACTATTTCTTACAGGCAATAATCATCGATCCGGCTACCGTATAAGCTGTTCCACCAACAGCCGCGAAATCCACGTTCATGGAGTCAACAATGCTCTTGAAGTAAAACGGAACCTCAACATTTAGGACCTAGACAACAGTAAGCAACAGGAGAGATACCAATGTAGTTCTGCTGCGATCCTCACCTTTGCGCCAACTAGCAACGACAGTGCCGTTCCCACACGAAGCTTGGTACCCCAGTCACCCTGTATAGCCGATCAGCAAAGAGTGTAGACAGCGCATCAGCCTTTCAGATCTCTACCTTTGGCCAGAGATATTTCGCCATTTCCCTCATTATAGCCCAGTCGGCCTTTCTCTGTTCTTTCCTCCCCACTGTGCTTTCACTAAGCAAGGTCTTCTGTGCAGTTGCGGCATTTTGGGTCTTCGGCGGGCTCGGAGCCGCTGGTTTGGTAGGTAATGAGGATGGATCGGGTACGGGAGTCTTTTTATCGGATGCTGAGCTCTCGTCCGGTTGCTTCTTATCTGAGAATGATTTAATCTGAGGTCTGCGGAACGTAGCTGCTAGAGGTCTCGTGCGCGGGAATGCGGGATGCTGGATGGTGAGCCGCGCCGGGGCGCGCCAGCAAGGCGACCGAGCTGCTTGACGCAGCATTTCACAGCGGTAAATATGATTGCAGAAGCTGCCACTCGCTATTCCTTGCCGGTATTTGCTCAATGGAGCATTGTTGTAGCTATTGCGAGTTCGCTGGTTTGGGCTGTCACTTCGCGTTGCGGAGCGCCGGGTTCGGAGGGGAAAAGAGGACCGGGCGATGATGTTTGAGGACCTCCGGATTAGGTCACCACCTGTCACGAAACACGAAGAGAACCTTGGATGCAATCCGTTTCTGCCTTCGCAACAAAACCACGGCGTTAGGGGGTCTAGGTAAAGAGCTCTTCGGCGAGAATATAAATAGGAGAATGTCGTGATGGCATCTTCTGTTGCAATTGATCCCGAGATGATGCAATGAAGCCTCCACGACAGCTCTCGATATCTGATCTCTACTTCGCCCAGACCATCAACCAATTTTTGGCACCAGAAGCTTCATCCACTGCAGACTTATTGTGCACTAGAGTGAGAAAGACGGTCGGAGCACTCCCCAACTCGGTCCTTGAGTCATCTGCTCAACGAGAAGAGCTCCGTCAGCAGGATGAATCTGTCGAGTCCTGATTGCACTTAGTTGAGCGTGGAGGAACCTCTTCAGCCGTATCACAGCTCGAAAAGCTGACACTGCAGCCAATACTGATAAACATTGCACCAGAGTCCAGGTGCTAACAGAAAAGTGCTGGCCGTCAGAGGCACACCGGTCATCGGCCACCATCAGCCTGATCTACTGGGACATGTCTAAGAATTCATCGACGATCTGCCTTTGCTGACACAGGTATATGAGGCCAATTGAAAGGTTCCAAGCATCATTCAGTAGAATGAATGAAGAGAGCTGAACTTATCGTCTCCAGGATTCGATGTTCTAGCTTCCAGTGACTTGCCCTCCTAATAGTACATATAAGCAAGATATGGCCGGGAAGATTGGTTCGACCATTGGAGGACCCAATCCCGATCTCTCTCAAACGGACTTTACCACTGCGCTACCTATTAACGACGGCTATTTGCAAATTGGACTTGCTATGGCCTACTACTCTGACGAATGGTTTACCTGAACCTCCGAAGATTTGTTAATTCAATCGACGAGTCCCCAGGGTTCGTCGAGAGAACCGGTATTGGACTGTTCAAAACTGGTCCGGGCGTTATCCCTGAGCACAGGACACATGCATGGTGCAGCTGTCGAGCTTGGATGGCTAGATATCAACAAATCGGACAAAATGAGCGCCCGGGTAGCCTCCGCGGCGGGAAGAGTGTGATAGTGATTGATGAGTATATTTAGACACTTCCATTTTAATAATTATATCTGGCTTGTGCTATGTGAGGGCTCTTTTGTTTCACCAGTGTTTAAATCGAGTCTGGAATAGCACCGAAGCAAGGAGTCGCACTGTCTGAGGGGATGGTTCGCCACGCTCCCGGCCCCAGCGGTCTCCCGTAGCGGCCACCAGCTCGGGGCTCCAGGACTGGGACTTTGTTGCTGCACATTCTCGAGTCTGGACTACTTTGGATTTATTGGCTGTCGGTCTTGCTTTTGCCTCGTTCTTTGTCGACGCTCATCTGGCATTGTGACAACAGACCCCGTCGCTGGTGCTCAATCGCTTCCTGATTGAACTCCCCCGAGCGCGACTTGTCCAGTCGGGAGCCCTCCAACACTCCACTACGAGCCTTTAGCACCTCTCGTAACACTGTCCTCCCCTCAAGTCGCCTCGCCCTCTCCCTGTCTCCTGAAGCCACCGCCTCTTCCCACCTTCCCCTCCCCCTTTCCTCCCCCTTATATTCACCATCCCCTCCATCCCCAAACTCGCCGTTCCGTCCGATTTTGGCAACCTGGAGGGCACTCTTTCAAGATGGATCCCAACAACAACCGCCCCCACCTGAATTTCGGCTACAATGAGCGTGCCTTCAATCCGGCGGCTGCAAACAATCGCGCGTACCCGACCACCCCGTCTGCGTTTCCTCAGCCGATCTATCAGAGCCAAAGTCCTCAGGATTATATGGATGCTCAGAATGGCGTCTACGGCCAGGGATATTTTATGCCAAACCACTACGCTCCGCCGCAGGCTGCTTACGCCCAACCCCATTACGGCCAGCCCAACCTGCAGTCCCCTCAGCCCGCTTATCAGTCTCGAATGGCCTACGGCGTCAACCCCAACGACGGAACAAATGGGTTGATCCAGCAGTTCTCTAACCAGGACCTCAACGCCAACCGAACGGGCTTCTTTAATCGCGCGGCCTCGCCTGCCCAGAGACCCCGTACCGCTGGTAATACGGCTCCCGGACAACAGCAGCAACCCGGACACTTGGCTCCTCCTGTACCTCGCAGCCCTCGAGCTCCCGCGGAGAATGAAG